GAGGGTGTCTATGGGAAGGTTTGACCATTCTTCCAGAAGTGCATTTGTGAGGTCAGGCACTGATGTCGGAGGAGAAGGTCTGGCTCACAGTCTCCGCTCTAATTCATCCCAAAGGTGTTCTATCGGGTTAAGGTCAGGACTCTGTGCAGTCCAGTCAAGTTTACTAAAACTGGAGAACTCAGAATCTGGTGCGGCTTTGCATCGTAAGCAATCAGCTTCTAACTTCAGCTTGTTCAATTAAGCTTTGGCAATAAAACCTGGAAACTGATTGGTTTCTATGCAGAGTTGTACCAGATTTTACACTCTCCAGTTTTAGTAAATAACCCCCCATGTGTCAAAATGATCAGCTGATCCAGATGACTGATTTTTTTTCCCTAAAATTATCCTGTAAATTCTGAACTTGGTTCTCCCCCTTCCCACCTCCAAATCATCCCCACTGCTCAAAGATGTCACCCATTATGAGAAAGGACAAAAAAAAAAAGGCTTGAGAGGCAGGAATGGGGCCAAGGTCGACAAGGATTAGATATTTATATTCACTTCAGCTGCTGATATTTTTAGATTTATGGATCATAAGGTTTTCACTAAAGGTAACCTCTATTTATGCATTTGCTCATTTTGAATTTTAAAGGACCAGTAAACCTAAAATAAAACATAAATAATGTAAAATACCATTTGTGTAAAGATTATTTTCAGTCTAGCTGAAAGGTGACAGCAATAATAATGAGGTTGAATGAATGATGGTTCAATGTCATTTTATATACAGTTAGTGCTTAGTGTCGTTGTTTGGAGGATAGACATATGGGAGCTGACACTTGTTAGGCCCCTTTCACACAAAGGGTTCGATAATTTCCACCTGTTTCTTAGGCAGACCTCACTGGACAGTCTATTCACCCCTATGGACAGGCCTTCCTACCTCCGATCTAATCCAGTCTGCTAACAAAAAAAAAACAGAAGGGGATCCGTTCTCCTCTGTCTCGTAGGATTGGAAGGTAATCTTGTGTAAAGGGACAGCAAAGTCCATTTACCACCAACTGCCCATAGAGCAGATCGGACTCTGTCCGTGTCCAATCTGCAGAAACTGTGCAGCCACAGACCTGTCATCTGCCTGCTCTGCTCTGATCAGTGGATAGATCCCCTGCTGATCTCAACAGGGTCCGTCCCGTGTAAAAGAGGCCTAATAGTACTGGCTTTAGGCTGTTAGCTGATCCCCTGTTGATCTCAATAGAGTCCATCCCGTGTGAAAGGGGCCTAACAGTGCCGGCTCTGGCCTGTTAGCTTCACCACCAAGTGAGCCAGTGACTTGGAACAAGTATGTTGGATGGGAGTTCCGACTTTCCAGCCTTCATTGACTACATGCTTGTTCCAGGTCATTGCCTCACTAGGTTTCAAAGCCAGGATTAGGATTGCCTGAACGTATGAAAATTGGCACCTGCAGCTCTTGGATTTCTATCCTCACAAGTTTACTTTAAGATATTTAAAATGTATTTACATTTGCTAAAGAGTATCTATAATATCAAAGGATAAAATTTAACTGGTACCCACTGCAACAAACTTCTATTTTTTTTTTTTAAAGACCTGGAATTTGACTTCTTCCCCTTCTCTGCTCCTCTCAGGCCAGGTTCACACTATCATAGACAGCTGCCGGAGTGCTTTACCACTCTGCCAGGTGTCTGTTTCTGGCTGTGGCAGGAGGCAGTGTGGTGTCCGGTTCAACGTGTCACATGGTTGCCCCTTTTTTTACAAACTTTATTTGAAGTGTACAAAACACTTCATTCATGCTGCTGTACAATCCATGCAATCCTGTATGGGGTGCTATGATAAAATGCAGCATGTTTGCATTTTATCACAGCACCCTGCGGCGCAGCTATGGGCTGCATTGCAGTGTGAATGGGACACACAGGAAACATTTGTTTTCTGTATGTCCATGCATTGACCATGTTTTAAAAGTGCCATAACATGCAGGTCAACGCAGTAGCGTGAATTGGCCCTCAATTTTTATGTCTGAGTTGCCAATCACAAGGCCTGAGCATTGTCAAGCAGAAGAATAACTAACATTGTGACCTGACAAGCGCTTATGAAAATGGTGAAAATTAAATTTGCTGCTTTATAAACAGGCCCCATAATGTATGGTCGGTAGGTGAAGGTAAGCTAAGGCTCCAGATCATTTTTTTTACATTTTTGCTTTAAAGCAGATCCTATTTTCTAAGTTAAAACTTGTTCTACTATGGTATTATTAGGATAAGAGCAGTCACAAAAAGGTCCTATCTGGAGTATTACATTCATGCCTGGTTTTTAAGAGGCACAAGAGCTATATAAACTTTTTTTCCGATGCCAATATGGCAGCATATTACCACCTGGTTGGTGCCAGCAAAGGAAAATTGCGATAAGTATTACACACAAATATTTCCAATTTCTTTCTCCCTCCAAAAGGTTTGTTGCGCTACATGCAGATTTTAAAATTATAGCATATGGAAACCCAAAAACAAAACTGTCATATATTGCAGCTTACTATTCCTTCGATGTGCTGGTTGCATTTTTTTTTCTTTATTCAAGTAAAGTACATTTTCTGCAAGTACAGACAAAGCCTTTTTTTCTTAACAGATCCTGTTCTGAACTCTTAAGCCCCTTTCACATGGGGCAGACTCTAATTTAATCAGTAGGTCCCCTGCTGATCAGAACAGATAACAGGTCCCTGTCTGCTCAGTAAACTGATATGGACACAGCCTGCTCTGCTCTATTGGTGGTTGGTGTAAATGTAGTCCACTGTCCGTTTACACCTGACTGCCCTCCGATCTGATTTGCGTAGACAGATCCCCTTCCGTTTTTTTTTTTTTTTTTTTTATTGGACCGGAACAAACTGAAGGTAGTCGTGTATAAACAGACACCCGCTAGTTCATAGGGGTGAATTGAGGTTCCGATCAGGTCCACCTGAAAACTGACAGGAGACCTGATTGTAACTGGATCGTGTGAAAAGAGGCCTTAAACAATGGTGTCTGCTCTCCAAACAAATTTCTATGAACTACACAGCCCCTCCTAACACAACTCCCTGTTGTAACAGAGTAGAGTAGAGGGGGAGTTTTTTGTAGTCCTGCCCTAGGGTGACAATTCTACTCCTCCACAGATATGGTACAGAGTGCGAGTGTAGCCATCGAAGGACAGGAAGTGTGTTACTGGCAGAACTCATGAACATATCTAGGCTGGTGAACATATCTAAGCCAGGGTTTCTGAACCAGGGTTCCGTTGAATCCTAGGTTTCCTCCAGAGATTGCTAGGGGTTCCTTTAGCTATGGGCAGTTTCTGCCTCTCAGATAAGTTCCCACTAACATTATTCCCAATGTCCATAAGTGTAGGGAGCATTCTTCCCACTGACCATCAAACTAAAGTATCATGAGTTGTAGGTATAATAACTTTTAGCAGGAGTTCTCTGAGAACAAAAAGTTATTTCCTCTGTTGAAAAGGTTGTGAAAGGCTGATCTAAAGACTGGTAAACAGCAATAGATTAATTTTTTTGGGTTTTAAATACACTTTCAATTTGAAAATCTGAGAATTTACATTTAATGGCCCTTTATAATGAGAAATAATCAGTGCTATTACAAAATTAACTGATAATGGTGTAACACAAATGTCCTGATTTCAAAATCTGCAGTCAATTACCTTATAAAGCAAATAAGGAGTAGAACAGGCACTGCTGTAATTCTGAGAAGCTACATTAAAATGTATGGACAAGCTGTACTTTTGGGGCAGCCTGGACAATCCGAATAAATGGCAATACATGCTGTAATCCCTGAACAGAATTCTTTTGGACTAGCTGGATTGTCTGAACGTTCTGGTTCCCGGCACCAACCGTTTGTATATTCTGGAGACCCTGAAACTTTTGAACGGTTTGTAGGCCATGGCTAGAAGGTACAGTTCTCAGCTGCATGTTTTGTGGTAGCTGGACGGTGTTGTGGCTCTGAATGTTGGGTAACAGTTGAAGCTGGTTCTGCCCAGCCTGCAAACCTTGGAGATTTTCAACCATGTGCAGATTCGGATCGTTTATCTGGAAGTTATCCACCAGTTGAAGGGTCTGTTCTCCTTGAGAACTCTGGATAATAAAGACCTTTTGACATTCTGGAGCAGTGGTGGCAGGTTCTTGTATATTAGACATGGCTTGAATTTGGACATTAGAAACATCTTGTATGCCCTGAATATTTTCCACTCCCTGCACGCACAACCGTGTCTGCTCCCCATCAGCATTTTGCAAGACAAGGACATTCTGCAAGCCTTCTTCTGTTTGAAGGGTTTCAAAGTGGACATCCTGAACTTCCTCCATGGACTGCAAGTTTTCTACACTCTCCGTAGAGCTTAGGAGTTCCTCTCCTGGAGAATTCTGTACAACGATCAAGTTCTGACTTTCCTGCAAACTAGAGACACTCTGTGGCTCTGGAAGTGTTTGAATGTGAATATCTGAAAGATGTGTTGTGTTAGGACTTGTCTGAAGGTGCACATTCGATAGTTCTTGATGAATATGCACATTAGCAATGTTTGGAGAGCTGGATACAGTTTGAATGGTGGACATGTCATCTGCTTTTATTTGTATGTTAGACACTTCCTGAGCAACAGGCAAACTTTGAATAGTTAAGTCTTGTGTACTGGGTAGTTGTTGGATCTGTATGTTTGCAGTCTTCGGTGCAGATGGAATAGCATTCATATGCATTGTTGGCAGCTGCAGATGACTTTGATCTGTCACATTCTGCAAGACGAATATATTCTGACCCACAGGTAGTGTCTGAGCTCGGGGAAAGCCTTGAATAGCCTGTATTTGAAGAGGCTGCAGGTTAGGAACTGCTTGGCTTGTGTTGGGCATAATAAGAATGTTTTTGTTAGGACTAGTGAAATTACTGAGAGCGTTAGAAGTTTTTACTTTGGGTTTCTTTCGCAAAACCTTATTCTGTGGAGCTCTTTGATGTGCATTGCTTTGTATTGCAACCAAGTTCGAAGTACTGGGTGCTACAGCAACCTTATGCTGAGGATGCAAGACTTGTGAAGAAGGCAGAAGGGATAAACTTAGGAGTGTTTTGTTGTGGTACCTGTACCAGGAAAAAGGTTTGTGAATTTAAGGTACTAGGTTGGTTGCAGACTTCAACATTGAGCGTGGTTGGTAGGTCGGGCACAATTTGTACCTTCTGAGTTGCAGGCAAAGCTTGACCATTTGGAGTAGCTAGACTCTGTGCGGCAGACTCACAGTCTCCACCGCTGTTTATGGAATGGGTGCGCAGATGTCTCTGAAGATAAGAAGACATGACAAAACCTTTGCCGCAAATGGTGCACCTGTAAGGTCGGTCGCTTGAGTGTGTGCGTTGATGTAACTGCAAATTTGAAGAGTGTGTGAATGTCTTGTCACATTTTTCACATTTGTAAGGCTTTTCTCCTGTGTGGGTTCTCTCATGCTGACGTAGATTGGAAGTCTGCGTGAAGGTCTTGCCGCACATAACACAGGCAAATGGGCGTTCCCCCGTGTGGAGCTGCCTATGGCGGCGCAGGCAAGAAGTGTTTTTGAAGGACTTTCCACACTCTGTACAACTGTAAGGCCTTTCCCCTGTATGGAGCCGTAAATGGTACTGATAATGCGAGGACCACTTAAATGTAAGGCCACACTCAGCACACTTGAATGCCCTGACACCTGTGTGAACTCGCTGGTGTATAGACAAAAGGGAAGAGCGCTTGAAAGCTTTCCCGCACTCTGAACACTTATAAGGGCGCTCTCCAGTATGGTCCCTCATGTGGTAGCGCAGTCCCGAGGAGCCTTTAAAAGCTTTATTACAGTCTGTACATTTGTATGGCCGTTCAACCGTCTCAGCAGGTGTGGCAGTGGTAAAGGGAGGAATGATCTCAATTGTCTGTGGGCAGGTCACCTCCGCTTCTGTCTGGATGAGCTGTTGCTCCTCCGTGTGAGTTCTCTGGTGCATCAGCAGGTTGGAGAGCTGCACAAATGTCTTTTCACAGATGGAGCATTTATAAGGCCTTTCGTTAGAGTGTGTATATTGGTGGCGGGACAACCCTGAGGCATTTTTAAAAGTCTTATCACATAATGTGCAAGAATAGCTCTGCTCCTCGGCATGGCTCTGCTGATGCTCAAGAAGCATCTCCTCGCTCTTGAAGGTCAAGTCACAAGTGCCACACTTATAAAGCATCTCCACCGTCTCTATTTCGCTGGAGGTAGTCAGGAACACTTCAGCATCTGTTTGTACAAACGTCTGTTCAATTGTGTGAGTCTGCAGGTGCTTCTGCAGGAATGCATCTGAAATAAACATTTTGCTGCACAAGTCGCATTTGTGTGTGGGTCCGCTGGTGTGTGTACGCTGGTGAAGGAGCAAGTTAGAAGAATGGGTGAAGGATTTACCACATTCAGAGCACTTGTAAGGCCGCTCCCCCGTGTGGATCCGCTCATGTTGTTTTAAGTTGGTGGACTGCGTAAATGCTTTGCCACACACCGTACACACATAAGGACGCTCTCCCGTGTGAATGTTCCTGTGCCGCCTCAAACTGGAGGAATTCTTAAATGCTTTGTCGCAGATGTTGCATTTATAAGGCCTCTCTCCTGTATGTTGTCTCATGTGGTACTGGTAATGGGAGGACCACTTGAATGCCATTCCACACACATTGCATTTGAACGAGCGAAATCCAGTGTGCACGCTCTGATGGATCTGCAGCAGAGAGGAACGCTTAAAAGCTTTACCGCAGTCTCCACACTTGTAAGGCCTTTCTCCAGTATGGCTTCTCTGGTGATAAAGGAGGGCTGAGGAGCCTTTAAAAGCTTTTGGACACTCTGAGCATTTGTAGGGTCGTTCCCCAGTGTGGGTTCTTTGGTGGTGTATTAATCTTGAAGACCATTTAAAGACTTTCCCACACTCGTGGCACTCATACTGATGACTGCTAGCTTCTGCAGGTTGTACAAGTGGTTGTTGTTGTATGGAAGATGCCTGTACCTCCAGCTCCTGTGCACCCACCATTCTGAAGGATTTGCTAAGAGATAATGAAGACAAGAAATGGGGGTTATTTTCTAGTTGCCACTGACTAAGGACCATTTCACAATAAGTTTTTCTTCTGTTTTTGCCTTACAAAAAGCAGAAGAAAATTGCATAACCATTAAATCCTATGGAACTCTTCACACCAGTCAGTTTTTAAAAGTCTTGCATGCTACATTTTTAGTGCATGTTTGATGCGGTAAAAAAAAAATGCAGCTACCCATTGAAATGAATGGAAACTGCAGCAAAAATGCACCAACTGGTCCATGTCATTTTTTCACAGGTGCAGGCTGATGTCAGGCAACCAGAAAATGCACCGGAAATGTGGCAAAAACGTATATGCATTTTTACTGTGTTTCTGCAATAGAGCAGTGTGAAAGCAGCCTAAATTACTAAAGCTGAAATACCAGACAGATCTAAAAAGACTCAAGAGATTACAGATCTGTAATAATTGACGCATCATTAAATTATGGAAGCTTCTGCTGGAAAGTCTTCTTTAAAGTGGAACTTCACCACATAATGAGCATCACAAACCAAAAACGCTGTTAAATTCAGTTTTGATTTTCAAAGCAAACTCCCCCATCTGCAATGTCTCCATGCTTTATTTTGTTGAGAAATCACTTTGAGTAAGGGCAGATGATTCATCTAGCATTTACTTCCTGGAATCCGTGTGGCCTTAGCTCAGTCATGCAGACAGGAGGGTGAGCTTACAGGGATGTTGGATTCCTATCGCCCGACGCCCAGGACACGTATTTCCGGGCGCCGGGCAGGTAGTTTCTTTCTACTTTTAGCTCTGCTGCGGGCAAAGCAGCAGGGCTCACCTGTTAGGTGGAAGCACTTGGCGGCAGCGCTGCTGCCGATTGCTTCCACACAATGCCAGCCTCTCCGGGTCTCCGTTGAGAGATTGTAATGCAATCCCCGGGAAAGTATGTATTATGTTGCAATGTGCACCACATTACATTCAATGGAGCAGGGGGGAGACATGCAGGGCCTTTTAGACCTTGGATGTCTCAAAGAGAACCTGTCACCAAAAATCATCACATATGTGATGAAAAAAAAAAAGTATAAAAAAAAAGTTTTTTTTTTTATTGTAAAAAATGAGTTAAACCCAAGCACATACCATCCCAAAAAAATATTGAGGCCCCCACCCCAACATATACGCATGTACAAACGTAAAAGCACACGCTGGGGCACATACGCATGAAACCGTCGATTGCGATACACATGTCACATATCGCCGCGCACGCCAGAATGAGAGCAATAATTCTAGTACCAGACCTCCTCCATAACACTAAACTGGTGACCCTTTAAAGGAGCTTTAAAAGTGTCCACCTATAGAAAATATAGGGTACTGAAGTTCGTCGCCATTTCACAAGCGCGCACAAATGTAAGGTTTGACAAGTTGGATATCTATTTACTCACTGCATCCTCATCTTTTTTATATTTTACAAAAAAATAGGGTAATTTATTGCTTTTTTGTGCCCTAAAATTAAGTTACTTGTATTTTTTACTAAAATTTTTCCGTAAAATCTTGCACATAAAAAATTGGAACTACCACTATTTTATCCTCTAGGGTCTCTGCTTTCAGAAAATATATAATGTTTGGGGGGTATTGTGTAATCTCCAGGTCTAAAATGATTTTTTAAACGTGTGCAAAAAACGCAAAAACGTCTCTGGCAGTCCCCGGGTGTGGTTCTGGAGACAGGCAGGGAGGGGAGGAGGAGATAAACAGCACAATGTTAAAAATATTACACGTTTAAGTCGCCATAAAGCCTCTCTTGTTTTTAAAAGCCCCAGACATTCCTAAAATCACCTCCAATTTAAATACGGTTTTGGTTAAAAAAAAATTTCTTTTTCATCTGGACAAGTAGATTGTCATGAGGGACAAGTAGATTGGGACACCGATTTAGTCCCTGGACAAGTAGTTTTTTCAAAAATTTCCACACCCCTGAGCTTAGCTGAGAAAGCCCCTGCTTCCCTCCTGGAATGTATGACATCATTTGCCTAGACCTTTAAACCAGGAAGTAACTGAAGAAGAAATGTAAAAAAAAAAAGTTTGAAAGAAGTAAATATGACAGGGGTGCTTAACCTTTTGAAAAGCGAAAATGCCACATAAGTGATTAGTTAACCAGTTGTGGTCCACAATAAAATGAAATGTTTCACAATTAAATTTTTTTTTTTTGAATAGCATAATAAACATTTTACTCCTGCAGTCGCTGAATGCCAGTGGGAGGAAGAGGAGAAGTTGGCTTTCAGCAGTTGCAGGAGGAAAATGGAGAGGATCAGTTCTTATATACCTCTTAATCAATCAAATTCCTTTTTTATACTCCCACAAAAAGTCACACTTTCTCCCTAGAAAGTATACAAACTCACATAACCTTTTTGTGATAACCATAAATTAAGTATAATAAATTCATATAATCAAAACTAAAAATAAAATAAAAATCGATAAAAATATGTGAATTGTGTCCAAAAACATTTTTTAAATAGTAATTGTGTCCAATGTCCAAATCCCAATTTTCCACCTTGATGCAGTTAGAAGAAAATCAATCCTAGATATTCTGAAATACCTCAAAATAAAAGAAAAGAAAAACCATAGTGCATTATCTTTTACATATATAACACTCCACTCAGTGCTCAACACAAAAATCACTCTTAAATTGAGCAAAAAAAAAAAAAAAAAAAAAAACTTATACAAATATTCTTTTAATTTATATAAAATTCAAACCCAAAAAGTGAAAACTCCGTGATCACTATATAACCACACACTTTGTGATCAACCACTTCAATTCCAAAAAAACACTCTGTGCACAACCCCTAGTAAATAGTGATACTAGGTACTAGTACCCTTTTTTATTCCAGCCACAAATGATACCAGGTACTATTACCCTCTTATAGTTGTTTTCAGGCATGGGCTATCAAAAGTACTCCTTCCTTTCCAATGCTTTACTTTAAGGGCAATCCTCCACTATCCTCATGAAAATAAACAGGCTCTTAGGCAGAATACATAATAAAGGAACAAATTTAATCCAAATTTACATAAAAGAAAGCAGAAGCCGGATTCTGCTTTCTTTTATGTAAGTTTGGATTAAATTTGTTCCTTTAATATGGATTCTGCCTAAGAGCCTGTTTATTTTCATGAGGATATTGGAGGATTGCCCTTGAAGTAAAGCATTGGAAAGGAAGGAGTACTTTTGATAGCCCATGCCTGAAAACAACTATAAGAGGGTAATAGTACCTGGTATCATTTGTGGCTGGAATAAAAAAGGGTACTAGTACCTAGTATCACTATTCACTAGGGGTTGTGCACAGAGCGTTTTTTTTGGAATTGAAGTGGTTGATCACAAAGTGTGTGGTTATATAGTGATCACAGAGTTTTCACTTTTTGGGTTTGAATTTTATATAAATTAAAAGAATATTTGTATAAGTTTTTTTTTTTTTTTTTTTTTGCACAATTTAAGAGTGATTTTTGTGTTGAGCACTGAGTGGAGTGTTATATATGTAAAAGATAATGCACTATGGTTTTTCTTTTCTTTTATTTTGAGGTGGTATTTCAGAATATCTAGGATTGATTTCCTTCTAACTGCATCAAGGTGGAAAATTGAGATTTGGACATTGGACACAATTACTATTTAAAAAAAATTTTTGGACACAATTCACATATTTTTATCGATTTTTATTTTATTTTATGTTTTGATTATATGAATTTATTATACTTAATTTATGGTTATCACAAAAAGGTTATGTGAGACAGTTCATATATACGCCGCCCCTCCTGCCCAAGTGTAAGACAGAATGTGACAGGGAGGCCGCACGGGCCCCCTGGAGCATGGGGCGGGGTCGCCATTACAACCCCTGACGCCATGTCAGTGATTGAGGGGGTGTGGTAAAAAAACATTCGCCTCCCAAACTGCAAATGTAAGTGAACCCTTACTGTTCTGAGTCCACTATAAGGCTGCTTTCACACTGATGTGCTGCAGTTTACCTGTACAGCAGTTGCAGCTGTGGCTTTCCTCTGGGTTAGCTGCACTTTGCCATAGGCTATTAGAACTTGTGGGTGTGCTGAACGTTCTGACACTTCCTGCATTCAGTTTTTGGTCATGGGCCACATCTAAGGGTCACAGGTTGAGCACCCCTGAAATATGATATACTTTCCTATCTATTTACTAATGTTTGCAACATAAGGAGTAAAATTAGTCCACGTTGACTGAGAGGGTGAAGTTTCGCTTTAAGGTGTATGTATAATCAAAACTCCTTATTGTTTTGGATAGAGTAGGAAAGTATTATATTTATATACCTGGACCTGTTTAAAGTGGAACTTTACCCATAACAACTTGATAAAAAATGATGTTCTTTAGCAAGGAACAGACATTCCACAATAATAAATCTGCTACCAAAATTAGTGTGTGCTGTAAATTGCCTCTAGCATTGTTCCTGTTTCTTCTTGCTGGAGGCCTTGCTGAAGCCAGAGCCCCCAAGAAGCAGTAATTCTTTAGGCTGTCAGCAGACCGGCCTCTACAAATTTAGGACAGCATCGAAAAATAGAGAGCAACTGAGTATGTGCAGAGCAGGGTGAGACAGTGTGTTACTGGATTTTAAACTGGATTTTAGTACAGACACTTATTTTAAAGTGGTTGTAAAGGCTGAAGGTTTTTTAAAAGACCTTCCCTGTGAAGTGGTCCCCTAAAGCCCCCCTAATACTCACCTAAGCCCCCTCTTGATCCAGCAATATGCACTGGAGTATAGGCTATCCCGGAACTCCCTCTCCTCATTGGCTCCCGCTGCTGTCAATCACAGCCAGTAGGTCAATAAGAAGAGAGAGAGAGGCAGGACCAAGTTGTGGCTCCGTGTGTGAATGGACACACGTAGCAGAGGCATGGGAGCACGCCTACTCGGGTGCCCCCATATCAAGCTACTTGCACCCAACAGGAGGGAGGGACCAGGAGCACTGGTGGGGGACCCCAGAACAGGATTATCGGGGCTGC